ACCTCCACATGCATTATAACGATGAGCATTAACCTCAGCGAGCATTATAGCGATGATACATTAACCTCAAAAGGTATCGTAACAATGATTCGTTAACCTCAAGAGGTATTGTAACAATGATAAACTAACCTCAACAGGTAGCATAGCGATACAATAACCTCAAGAGGTATTATAGAAATGATACTTTAACCTTAGCAGGTATTATAACGATGATTCATTATCCTTTACAAGTGTGATAGCGATGATACACTAACCTCAACAGGTATTATAGTGATGATACACTAACCTCAACAGGTATTATAGCGATGATACACTAACCTCAACAGGTATTATAGCGATGATACACTAACCTCAACAGGTATTATAGTGATGATACACTAACCTCAACAGGTATTATAGCGATGATACACTAACCTCAACAGGTATTATAGCGATGATACACTAACCTCAACAGGTATTATAGTGATGATACACTAACCTCAACAGGTATTATAGCGATGATACACTAACCTCAACAGGTATTATAGCGATGATACACTAACCTCAACAGGTATTATAGTGATGATGCTATACTCTTAGCAGGTATTATAGCGATTATACAACAACCTCAACAGGTATTGCGTTTTAAGGGTCATATTATTCGTTGAAATACGTTAAAATGGTTTTGTTATAAATAGCAACCCAACTTCACCAAACGTTAGTCACTTGTATCGTAAAGGTTAGAGAAGGAGAAGCTCTCCATAGGATGATAGAAAACGTTCGTGAAAATAATTACACAATACTTTGTAATGTAATCTTAGATAGAGTTTAGATACACTATCATGGAGCAACAGTAAACTTATATGGATGCAAATGTCGACATCTTCATTTATCCTCTTCAGTCAAACTTTTGACAAACAAACAAATGATGGACTGATGAGGGTACGTGAAATGTCAAACTTGTATTCCTATAAACTTCTTGTTTCGTAATAGTTGATCTAAGCCTTATATTCGACCAGACGTTTGTATCACGTAAGCCTGTCACCTTTCAGAACACGGGTATACATCGCCACCTGGTGGTATATTTACATAATATATATTAAAACCTGACTTTATTTATTTTTTCTATAGTTACATAACTGAACTGAACAAGTCATGGGTGTTTATCCTCTTCAGTCAAACTTTTGGCAAACAAACAAATGTTCAACTGAAGATGATATTTGAAACGTCGAAACTTCTATCCATATAAGTTTACATTTGCTCCATAACAGTGGGTCTAAGCTTTATATTCTTTGGCATTTTAGAACACAGTTACACATCCCCAGTCGTTTTAATAATACATATATATTCTATATTCCTATTCCACTCCAAATGAAGAAAAGTCAGAACTACACAGAAAGCAACTACTACAAGTTACTACAAGCGACGTTACTTTTTCTGTCGTTTAGATAAATTCAATATAAGTTGATAGAGAAATGTAACGAGATTCGCTAAAACGTTCGAGTAGATTATTAGAAACCTTAGGTGAAACGGAAATCTGAAATAATAATAATATTTTAGGTGAATTAACCAAAATATTTGTCTATTATTAAGATTTACGTTCCACTGCTGCGTGACTGGGATATATCCTAAAAGTAAATAAGTTATGTGACGAGTGACAGTCTCCCTCTAGCAGACATTACACTAAACAAAGACTAAAAGCTATCTGCACTTAGCAGTCCCTAATTTTGAAATGATAGACTAGATGAAAGGCAGGTGGTCAACAGCACCCACCGCCAGCTCTTATTGTTTGTTTGTGTTGAATTTCGCGCAAAGCTACACGAGGGCTACCTGGGCTAGCCGTCTCTAATTTAGCAGTGTAAGACTAGAGGGAAGGCAGCTAGTCATCACCACCCACCGCCAACTCTTGAGCTACTCTTTTATCAACGAATAGTGGGATTAACCGTCACATTATAACACCCCCACGGCTGAAAGGATGAGCATGTTTGGTGTGACGGGGATTCGAACTCGCGACCCTCAGATTCCGAGTCGAGCGCCCTAACCACCTGGCTATGCCGGTCCGCCAGCTCTTAAGCTACTATTGTCTGATCGAATAGATTATTTCATCGTCATGCGATTCTAAAGAGCGGACCGTTTCGCTGTGGCAACGGGTCACGGGCCATGAACCCTCGGATACACTACATAAGAACGCTAGATACTGGATTTTGCTGCCTGCCACTTTTAAGAGTAAGACGCGCAGATATTTAATACATTAAAATATACATTCAATACTATTTGTTTTCCACATCTATGAACTGATCTTTTTTTCTTTCTTTCTTTAATGACTTTGTACTTATTGTATAAACATCCATTAAACATATATACAGTTTAACGGACCACTGACACCTGTTGGGCTTATTTGGAGATGACATATGGATTAGCCAGATCCCAAGGTTTGCGCAAGAAGACTGAAACGTCTCCAAGCAAGCTCCTGCCGACGGATGTGGTCTGCCACGTGATTTACTATCTGCAATCCTGCCCTTGTGCTTTTTTGAGCTACATTAAGCCCATTATAATTTCCAAAATTCAAATGTTCTACGTCTGATGTAAATCAACTCGTACTGTTTCAGTGGCTACTCCAAGGACTGTATGTTTCATAAAGAATGAAATACATTGGGTATTACACAATAGTCATATCATGTAGCCGTAGGTATCAGTAAGAGCAATCAGAAGTCACACCTGTTCTTTACCATAGTATTGTGCCAAATAGCTGTCCTCATATTTCAAGTAACAACTAAAGGCACACTTAATGTCTGAAACCGTACAACACATGTTAGCATACATGCCCACCACGACTCCCAAATGCATGTATCTGAGCCTAAATTGGGCACAATGATAAGTACAGTTTAAAAAAATCCAAAAAGAGTCCAAAATGTGAGATATTTAACAGTCCAACGAAGAAATTATACCAACAATTCTTTACTAAGTGTACGTCCATTAGAGATAACAAATTGGTCACTAGTTTGAAATTATACGCGTGTAGCTTTTAATCAGACGGTTGACAACCAAATTATTTTTATTCAAACCCTACCTTTAGTGAAAATAAGAAAATACAATGAAACAAGATGACAACAAGCCCTCTGCAGACAATGGTGGCGCCACTGTGACCCTCAGAAACGTGACGCCACAATTACCTACACTTTGTCACGTTGAAACTAGTTCGTTTCAAACAGCTCATGCATATATGTCTCTATAATGATAAAATTTACACGCTTCTTTAATGAGCTTGTTCAAACATTATTTTTGGAATATAACGTGATTCTAAGTTACAGAATTACACAAGTTCTATTTATTTTCAACACGAATTATCTACTGACATCGTAGATTTGGATATTATTTCTTTTATAACTAAACGTTTACGACATGTGATATTTGATAACTTCAACGATTTACGACACATGAATGTTTATAACTAAACGTTTACGACACATGATTTTTATACAACTTCACAGCCACAGTGTTAATATTGTCTCGTAATATTTCTCGATGAGTAATTTCACCTAGAATGACGTTTAAAAATTCCCTCTTTAAACTTCCACCAATAATTTAGATAGCCAATCTTCCACTAATAATTTAGATAGCCAATCTTCCACTAATAATTTAGATAGCCAATCTTCCACTAATAATTTAGATAGCCAAAAGTTGTAATAGTCTGAATCAATTTGCATTATTTATTCTTATTTTTATTAGTTGTCCCTCAGAATAGGACCTGCTGTGCTCAGAAAAAGATGATTCTATTTCTATCTTCTTTCATGAAAAAATACTAAAAGTGTATAATTTAATAAACGACAAGAAAACTGGGGGAAACAAACAACTGCTTTAGATATATGTTTGTTTAACTCGAATGTGAAAGTCCTATTGGATGGAAAGTATTAACGACTGATCAGATGTTTGAGGAATACCATCAGTCATGCCCCCCAGTGGCACAGCGGTATATTTGCGGACTTAAAACGCTTGAAACCCAGTTTCGATACCAGTGGCTAGTGGAGCACAGATAGCCCATTGTGTAGTTTTGGGCTTAACTACGAACAAACAAACAAACCATCTGTCATATATATGCATATAATGAAAGTAGTAATGATTGATTACGTACATGAGGAACACAGGAAGTTATATATACGTTTGATGATATATGTATACTGATTATGTAGATTGTATGTATTACGTATACATATTAATGATGTTTTCAAACCTTTACAATCCCTGTACGTTAACTCTATTGTCACTTCTTGTTGTGCACATGTCATTCAATCATTCAGGAAAATCCTTTCTTTTCCTTTTTCCTCTCTGTGAACTGACACACACACACTCCTTTCAGCTCAGTTGGGAGCAAACGTTATCCACACATGTAAGCATTTTCGACATTAGTAATACATTCGATGTAGCTTTTTCGTTTATACTTTCGAAAAACAAAATATTAAATGAAAAACAAAAACGTGTTGTTGTTGTTCTTGCAAAAACTATAAAGTCCAAAGAACGTGCATAGGCACGTGTAAACAGACTTATCAAACATAGAAAAGTATGTCTGGAATAAAGTGGCCTACTTCTCAATACTGAATAATCCGTTTTTAAAAATTCTAAAGCTGTTTGAAATTTATACGTGTAGCTGGTCTAGTAAAATTCGTATAGTATGGCTAATGCTGCAAATAATAATGAAATGTTAATGTCTGCAGAGAATAGAGTAGTGTTAATGCCTACAGAAGATAAGGTAGAATTAATATCTACAGAGGATAGTGAAGTGTTAATTCTTGCAGATGATAGGGTAGGGTCAATTCCTGTAGAGGATTGGGTAGGGGTAATGCCTACAGATGATATATAGCGTAGGGTTAATGCCTGCACAAGATGGATAGGGTAAGGTTAATGTCTGCATAAAATAGGGTATTGTTAATTCCTGCAGAGGATAGAGAAGTGTTAATGCCTACAGAGGATAGGGTAGTTTAATTCTTGCAGAGGATACGGTAGTATTAATGTCTGCAGAGAATATGGTAGTGTTAATTCCTGCAGAGGATAGGGTAGTGTTAATGCCTGCAGATGATAGGGTAGTATTAACGTCTGCAGAGAATATGGTAGTGTTAATTCCTGCAGAGGATAGAGAAGTGTTAATGCCTACAGATGATACGGTAGTATTAATTCCTGCAGAAGATAGGGTAGTGTTAATTCCTGCAGAGGATAGGGTAGTGTTAATGCCTACAGATGATAGGGTAGTAATAATGTCTGCAGAGAATATGGTAGTGTTAATTCCTGCAGAGGATAGGGTAGTATTAACGTCTGCAGAGAATATGGTAGTGTTAATTCCTGCAGAGGATAGGGTAGTGTTAATTCCTGCAGAGGATAGGGTAGTGTTAATGCCTACAGATGATAGGGTAGTAATAATGTCTGCAGAGAATATGGTAGTGTTAATTCCTGCAGAGGATAGGGTAGTGTTAATGCCTGCAGATGATACAGTAGTGATAATGATTGCAAAGGATTGAGTAGTGATATTTCCTACAGAGGACAGCGTAGTGTTAATGCCCAAGGAAAACTTTACGAAGCAGACGACCCTCTATACTGGTCTTGTTTTGTCCGGACATTGTTTTATCTGCAAACATCATTTTTTAAAACATGATAATACACTGAACACTAAGCTCGATATATTTGCTGATTTTTCTTAATAAAGCTACTGTTCCAGAGAATCGTTCTAGACGCCATTGACCCAAGGTCTTAAACCTCTGACCCATATTTGTTACCTTTCCAGGAACTAAGTTTCAGGCTGACCACTTTTTATGCTAACTCCGGGTTGCTCGAAAATTCTCTACTTCATTATAGTCCTTTTTGTTTCAGATCATAACTGCATTATGGAAACACTGAGCTGAAGTGACAAGCCAGATGGCGAGCTACACGTGTGTGGACCAAATCAACGTTATTCAGGAGTGACGCAAACATGCCAACAACCACTCAAGAAATTGCAAAGTAGCGCGTTTCATAAAAAGTGTTTTCTTTCAACTCAGGATCAATATATATTAAGTAGTCCTGCTGAGCCAAAAATCTGTAGTCTCTAAAATCGAAGGGAAAATAAAGTTACCTTTAAGAAAATGGTATATTGAGAGAGTTAGTCAAACTTTAAATTAAATATTTGTATATGTTAATACAATGGCGTGTGGCCGAAGATCCGATTTGTGGCGTTACTAGCGACATATTTAGCATCTAGAAATGTTTGTTTTATATCACATGCATCACCAAATCAATGCCGCCACAGCTATACGTATGACTAAAAAAAGGACATTTCGTGTAGTAAGATTGTTAACGAGTTAGAGCTAAGGGACAGAACATGTCAAATAAGACGATTTTCATCGTTTTCCAATAAAATAACTCATGCAGAGGAACTGTTACAACAGTAAAGGGTTTTGAAATTACACCTAAACCAATCAGAAGTAAGCAATGCTTTCATCCGCAAAGTGACGGCTATAGTTACAATTAAAGACTCTCAGAACCAATGAGGAAAAAGGTGGAAAGCACTTATGTAAAGCTGGACATATCTCTTGTCGCTGTTAAGAAGAAAATTTCACCAGGTTTTGAAGTTGGTGATAGCTCTCAAGCAGCAGCTCACAAAGTTACATTTACCCCACGGAATCAATGGTTGTTTTCATAAGAAAGATGGTTGTAACCACAACACCCTCATTCAACCAACAAAATGTAAGTCAACCGATTCAGCTCTAGTCGACTTTTGTGTCTTTGGTCTTTGTAAACAGATGTTCATGTATAGTAGAGGGTCTGTGGAAAGTTTTTTTTAAGATGTGTGATTGAATGTTGACCTCACTATCCTTTGCAAAAGCTTGTCACAATGGAAAACTATGGTGTTGGTAAATAATACGCAGTCATGACCACCAGGCTGACCAGGACCGAAATTTATACCACGTTCAAAATAAAAAGAGCATCAGATAGTATTTAGGATTTGACTAGTTTGTAATGAATGAATGAACGAATAAACTGACACGCGCATATAGATAGATAGAAGTATTGAAAATGAAGCTAAAACGATATCGTAACGTTCCATATAGCTAAAACAGACAACTTGATTAATTCATATTGTGCTTGTTTTCTTGTTTGAATGTCTTCATTACTTTTACTTCATTAATTCTCAGAAAAAGTTAAAACTATTTTTTACCGAAGCAAATCAGTTTACTTTCGTGAAGAGAAACTAAAAAAACAAACTTTTAATTAACCACATTTCTCCAAAAAGAATGAGCATTACAAACACACCAGTGTCGTAAAATACTGGAGTAACACAAAATACTGGAGTGATATGAAATACTTCTAAATGCTGGAGAGCCATGAAGCATTGTGGTCCTAACTGGAGCGCTTTAAAACATGTGGGTCCTAAAAACACGGGAGTGCTAGAAAACATAGGGGTCCTAAAAAAACACTGGGGTGTTATAAAACATTGGGGTCCTAAAACATTGAATTGCTATAAAGTATTGGGGTCCTAAAAAACACTTGGAGTGATATAAAACATTGGGGTCCTAAAATCACCTAGAATGCTTTAAAACATTGGGGTCCTAAAAACACCTGGAGTGATATAAAGCATTGGGGTCCTTAAAAACAATTGGAGTGATATAAAACATTGGCGTCCTTAAAACACTTGGAGTGATATAAAACATTGGCGTCCTAAAAAACACTTTTAGTTATATAAAACATTGGGGTCCTAAAAACATTTGCATTGATATAAAACATTATGGTATCATAGAATGGTATAATTGCCTTGAATAAAAATCTTTATAAGAAAAAAAACCTTCAACAGATACTGACAAACAAATAAATAAAGACGAAAAGCATTTACTAGCTCGAATTTTGAATTTGATGAGTATGAATATTTAATTCTTACAAAACTAGTACACAAACCTTTCATGCGATATTATAGCAATTTATTTATTAATAGTAAAGTCCTTAGAGCATGTCGTCCAAGAGGCAAAGATATAAGCTTGCGGGCTTGTAACATTAAAATTTGGAGCTCTGTCTCTGAGCTAGGTACAGCATAAATAGCACATTAGATATATTTGAGGGTAAACAAAAATAAAGAAGTCCTGAAACATAAGGCAAATATTCTTGACTTAAACTTCTCTAAAAAGGTAAGACGTTCGTAAAGAACATATTATCTTCTAACCCTCAAATTCCTGGAGTTAACTTCTTCTGATAAAGGTCCAACAACTTGGGTTGCCATTATTTCTGCTGTACGTTATCTTTCTCTGAGGAAGGCCAACCATGACTTGGCAAAACGCATGTAAACTCTGTAACAATACATCTAATTGTTAATATAAACTTGAAGTCAATATCAAGTTATTAAAAAAAATGGTTTAGACATTAGCTTAAAGCTTCAAAACGACTACGTTACTTGTCTACTTCTGTAATGACAGACAAAAGAAAGGACAGTAATTAACAGGACCCACTGCTAGCTCTTGACAGTCACTCTATGTTGTATACTTACGACTCCAACTATTTTCGTCAATGAGACGCGAGCCATGAGTTCTCAGATTTACAGGCGTAACACACTAGGCCACTGCCGGCCCATTACTAGGATCATTTTTCTGAGTTCCTTTATCTAATATATTTTTATGTATTTATCTTATCACCATATCTACAATGGAATGACATTCAGTTTATTTGTGAATGTCGGCAGAAAGTAAATTTACTTGAAGACATACAAAATATGTGTTTTGTCTTCATGAATCCTCGAAACCATACATATAATGTCAGTTGTTTCTGATTTTTAAAGCCACTATTGCTCACGAACATACATAAAGTTGTAATTATAGTCCCGAAACGAAACAATACATAAGAACTGAACCATTTAATGAGGAATACTAAGGTATTACTAACATCAGTAATGGAAGATACTAAAGTATTACTATCATCAGTAATGGAGGATACTAAGGTATTACTAACATCGGTAATGTGGCACACCAAGTTATTACTAACATCGGTAATGTGGCACACCAAGTTATTAATAGCATTTGTAATGACGAATACTAAGTTATTACCAACATCAGTAATGGAGGATACTAAAGTATTACTAACATCGGTAATGAGGGATACTAAGTTATTATTAACATCAGTAATGTGGGATACTAAGTTATATTACTAACATTTGTAATGAGGGATAGTAAGTTATTACTAACACCGGTAATGTGAGATAGTAAATTACTGCTAACATCGTTAATGTGGAATACTAATGTATTCCTAACACTTGTAATGTGAAATACTAATGTATTCCTAACATTTGTAATGTGGCACACTAAGTTATTACTAACACGGGTAATGTGGGATACCAAGTTATTACTAACACGGGTAATGTGGCACACCAAGTTTCTACTAACACGGGTAATGTGGCACATCAAGTTATTACTAACACGGATAATGTGGGATACCAAGTAACTACTAACAAGGGTAATGTGGCACACCAAGTTACTACTAACACGGGTAATGTGGCACACCAAGTTATTACTAACACGGGTAATGTGGCACACCAAGTTATTACTAACAAGGGTAATGTGGCATACCAAGTTACTACTAACACGGGTAATGTGGCACACCAAGTTATTACTAACACGGGTAATGTGGCACACCAAGTTACTACTAACACGGGTAATGTGGCACACCAAGTTATTACTAACACGGGTAATGTGGGATGTTAAGTTATTACTAACACCAGTAATGTGTGATATTAAGTTATTGCTAACATCGGTAATGTGGGATACCAAGTTACTACTAACACGGGTAATGTGGCACACCAAGTTACTACTAACACCGGTAATGTGGGATATTAAGTTATTGCTAACACCGGTATTGTGGGATATTAAGTTATTGCTAACATCGGTAATGTGGGATATTAAGTTATTGCTAACATCGGTAATGTGGGATATTAAGTTATTGCTAACATTGGTAATGTGGGATACCAAGTTATTACTAACACCGGTAATGTGTGATATTAAGTTATTGCTAACATCGGTAATGTGGGATACCAAGTTATTACTAACATCGGTAATGTGGGATACCAAGTTATTACTAACACCGGTAATGTGTGATATTAAGTTATTGCTAACATGGGTAATGTGGGATACCAAGTTATTACTAACACCGGTAATGTGTGATATTAAGTTATAGCTAACATCGGTAATGTGGGATATTAAGTTATTACTAACACCGGTAATGTGGGAGATTAAGTTATTGCTAACATCGGTAATGTGGAATACCAAATTATTACTAACACCGGTAATGTGGGATGTTAAGTTATTACTAACACCAGTAATGTGTGATATTAAGTTATTGCTAACATCGGTAATGTGGGATGTTAAGTTATTACTAACACCAGTAATGTGTGATATTATGTTATTGCTAACATCGGTAATGTGGGATACCAAGTTATTACTAACACCGGTAATGTGAGATATTAAGTTATTGCTAACACCGGTAATGTTGGATAACAAGTTACTACTAA